GCTGAGGGTCCCTCTCCGCCCTCTACCCTCGCCAGCTCCCGCGCGCTCTTCGACTGCCCTCCACGTCCTGCCCCGCGCTGGGGCTCCAACCTGTGCCCCGCCCATGGGCTCCCCGAGGCCAGCCCGGCACAAGTGAGTGCTTGGCGGGAGTCGAGGAAGGGGACGCGGGGCGGGGCTCCCTCCGGGACCCAGCGTGCTCAGTGCCTCCGTTTACACCCATTCCCTGGCAGGTAACGTTTGGGAAAGTAAACCCAACCCACCCACCCCAACCCCGCGCGCGAGCACACACACACACACACACACACACTCCTCGGCTTGTTTCCGCAGTCCTTGGCTTCAGCAAGAGGCCATCTCCCGGCCGCGGGAGTCAGTCCACCTTGTAGGACAGGTGCCCCTACCGTTCATGTAGGGTTCGGAGCCACTTCCGGGGGCGGCCTTGAGCAGGCGCACCCGGGCTGAGCCGGACAGGCCCCAGGTTCTACTCCAGAGAGCTCTGGGAGCCTGACTAATGAGCTGTACATTGTCACAATGCAGATCCTAGGGTGGGAGGACGGCCAGCCCCGGGTTCACATGGAGGCCAAGTCACTGGGGAAGGAAGGAGAAACCGAGGGAACCGGTTCCCCCGCCTCAGCAGCCAAACCCGAGTCAAGGCCCACCCTGGGGACATCCTGGGGAGGGGAGCACAGAGTGCCCCACAGATTCCCTGCGAGGAACAGGCTGCTCTTCCCACTTCTCCAGCAGAGAAACAGGCTCAGTCAAATGTTAGGCAAAGGGACCACTCCATGTCCTTAAACCAAGGCTTACCTGGCAGTCAAGCGAGGCCGGTGTCACCATACCACACTTGCCCACCACAAGATGGAAGCGAGCCTCAAATCTTAATATCAAAGCCACGGAATGAAGGGGTTAAGTTTAAGCTCGAATCCAGGAGTGCATGAGTGCTTTCATGCAAGTCCCCTGTCAGACACAGGTCAGGCTGGAGCAAGCCTCTGTGCCCTGGTGCCTGAGGAGCGCACGCTGACCTCGTCCCTTCTCCCTGCAGCGGTCGCGATGGCGGCTGACGTCGAGGGCCAAGTGGACGTGCTGGTGGAGCACCCCTTCGAGTACACCGGCCGGGACGGACGCCACGTCGTCATCCGGCCCAACGAGCGCTACCGCCTGCTGCGCCGCAGCACACCGCACTGGTGGCACGTGCGGCGCGAAC